ATCCGTTAACTCGGGGGAAAAGTGGTCATTTTACTATTATTATCTATTTTTTTTATTAAACATTAAAAAAAATTGTCTATAATATGATATATTTATTATTATATTAATGTATTTTATTATATGATTACGTATGCATATTGTATATATAATATATATACATACAAGTCTGTAACTTCTCATTTCCCGAATGTCGATGATCCCGTCTAATCCCCACCAACTCACCTACGAAAAAGGCACATAATGCATACACATCTCAAATGCACAACAAACAAAAAGTCCACCTGCCATCGGGACCCCTTCCATTGTATATGTCACTGCAAACCACTTGCTACCACCACTTCTATAGCGATTTTGTTGCCGATCGAAAATCACTGTATTCGGTGTTCATCTGTTGTAAGCCCCTATTGTAACTTCCATCCTACCATCCACTGGACAGACGACATCATGTCCCCACATATCACCATTGTTCCACAGGGTTCGAAATAAAATAGAAAAATAGAACAAGATCGATGGAGCACTGTGGTGGTGTATGTATGGCAGAAAAGTGAAATCACGGTGCCCTGGGTGGGGATGGGGGTCCTCTGGTAGGACAATAGTGTTGCCGGAGGAGAAGGAAGGCCGGAGAACGATTGTTGTCGTAAGGGTAATGTGTCGTTGGCGGGGGCTCTGGCTCTCTCTCTCTCTCTCTCTCTCTCTCTCTCTCTATATATATATATATATATATTTATATATATAAAGAGAGAGAGAGAGGGGGTTTAGGGGGAATTTGATGTTTATTTGAACTCTTTTTTATCCTTTGTGTAAAAAAGTTTTAATTGGTTGAATTTGGGGAAAACTGAACAAATAATGAAAAGTGATATTTTATTTGGAAACTGATGTTCTTGTTTGTAACGAGTTTCGGGAACTCTACGGTCGAAAGATTAAAATTAGCTTCGCTAAAGAGAAGCCGCAATCGTTCTACGGAGGCGTTGATGGGTACAATAGCGGAGGCTATGATCGTGGTCATTTTGCAAAACGAGCAGATCGAACATTTGTAGGTTATTGAACTAAATAGCTTTACGGATGAAAACCCGAATCGTTGTTTAGTTATGGAGTAAATTACGGTTTTGGTTATGGTATGCCAATCTTTACCCATTTGGTTTTGGAACTTACATTTATTATGGAAATGGTTTGCATTTTGTTTTGAAATTTGTCCCTGAATCAAACGGTCATCCATCTTGTTCGTTAAGGCATGCACGTCAAGGGCAATTTTGTCTTTTTGTCATTTTCTTCCGTTAATTTTTTTTTTGTAATTATGTTTTGTTCATTTCTTGAATAATATCTTCTTCACATTAACAATCGAGAATACGAAGAACTTCACCTCCAAACCCCCTTCCCCTCGGGGCGATGCTGCAATCGTTTATTCACAACAGTTGTTTTTATTGTAAATTACCGTGTTCCACTTTTTTAGTTTTATGGTTGTGATTAACTTGACAAAAGTGAGTTGATAAGGGTATGAAAGTAATTTATATTTAAAGGATTATCTAATTAATTATTAAGAAAATTAAAATTATTACAAATTCTTAAAAAAAAGGACAAATTGTATGAAAAAAGTAACGTACTTTAACTTGATTTCTATTTTGGGTAGTTTACTTTCAAAATTTTCATTTTGGTACTTAAGATGTAAAATTTAAACATTTAAGTACCTGAGTAACCGGTTGAAGACTAATTTTAGATTAAAAATATATATGTCACTAACCACGTCAGCAAATAATACTGAATTGGATACCACATCAGCATGATAACCGGTTAATGCTTCAACCAGTTACCCAGGTACTTAAATGTTTAAAACTTTACATCTTAGGTACCAAAATGAAATTTTTAAAAATACGTTATCCAAAATATGAATCAAATTAAAGTACGTTACTTTTCATGTCCTTAAAAAATATACGAACATTATAACTAAACAAATTCTACCAAAAAAACAACCATTTTTTTTCTTTTTTGTTTGACTTGAGATCTATGTTGTTATTTTTTTTATTATCCCTATGATGCTGTATATAGACAAGAGTTGAGCTTATTCCAAAGCTCATTAAGGGGTTGTTTACTAAATTTGTCTGTCTAAATAAATTGATGTTATTATTTACTCTTTTATCTGAATCAACAGTCTGAATAACAGATTTACCCCGAATATGAATTATGCATTGTTATTTATTTTTTAAGCCTAATGATCTGTCTAAAAACTTCATAAGCTTTTTGTCGAGATCCAGAGTGGCTTTTGTACTCCTTTTACCCTTTTGTTTTCCAACAGAGCACCGGATGAACAAGGTGTGGAAGACATGAGAGCTTGATCACTTGTTGATTATTTTTTAAGCCAAATGATATGTCTGAAAACAACAACCATGTCAAAGAAAAAAAATTAATATGTTCATCTTAATGACAAATATAACATTATTCCACTTGTTCCATGGTTCCATTTCTACAATGAACACGAGGAGGATAGCAGTGGTAGTAGAAACAAAAAGAGATCGAACCAGATAGTACATTGTAATGGAACAATGTTTATAGTGACTTAGGTGACGTTTGTTTTTTAAGAGGTGCTGAAGTCTGAAGTATGATTTCACTTTTGATTTATGAGAGGTGGTTCAAGTCTAAAATATGGATCAGTAAGATTGTTTGTTTTTACTACTGAAGTCTGAAATCTGAATCGGTCAAACTGGTGCAAAAAATATAAAAGATAAATAGTTTTTTTTTACAAAAGTATAAAAGATAAATAGTTTTTTTTTTAACAAAAGTATAAAAGATAAATAGTTTTTGCTAACAAATCTTTTTCAACCCTCAAATTACGAGCCATTTGATAAATGACATATTAGGATTAAAAGGTATTAAGGAATACGTTTACCACTTAAAATTTCAGCGGACATTTAAAGCTTTTAAACTCTTGTTTTAGAAACGAAACAAACACTATTAATACTCAAACGTCTGAACGAATCAAACTTCAGAGGTGTTAAGAGGTAATTTTGAAAAAACCAACAATCCCTTATAAACTATTTTGGTAATCAGTTGTCTTTTTCTTATAAATATTCCGCTACGTATTTTTAAGTTATAATGATGTTGATCTGAAGTTTATCCCTTTTATAAGTTGAGCGGAATTAAAATAAGGATGCAACAATGTTTCTGCTATTATAATTAATACTTTTTATGCCTCATAAATCAAATCAACAAGAAACAGGTACGTTTAAAAAAGAGTAAGTTACGATTCTCGTCCATGTGGTCGTTTAATAATTTTGATTTTCGTCCATATGGTTTAGAAATTGCGATTTTCATCCCTATGGTTTGCAATTTATTACTATTTTCATCCCTGAATTAATTAATACCTTTAACTACAAGGGACCAAAATAGTAAATAACTATAGATCATAAGGACCAAAACAGCAATAAATTGTAAATTACAAGGACGAAAGTAACAACAAAATACAAACCGTAGAGACGAAATCTAGGCATGGCAACGGGGTGGGGATAAGGCGGGTTTTGTAATCCCTGGTCCCGACCCCAATTTGTAGTAGCATTCCCCGGCCCTGTCCCCGGTCTCCGACGAGTACGGGGATTATCATCCCGTCCCTGGTCAAATCTCTAGTAATCCCCGATCAAACCCCATAAATAATATCATTTAGTTTGATTCTAACGTGGATTCCCGACCCTGGTTTGAGTAACATTTCACGTTCTCGGTTTGAGTCTACCGGGAATCCCCGACCCCGGGACTCGTTTTAGCGGGGAATCTCCGTCCCCGTTCAGGTCGGGTGAACCGGGTTCCCCACTGGGTCGGGACAAATCACCATCCCTAACGAAAATCGCAATTTTTAAACCATATAAGTAAAAAACCTTAATTTTTAACAAAACACAAGAATGAAAAACATAATTTATTTTTAAAAATATGAAAAGCAAAAGGAAAATCCTTTTTAACTTATTAAAATTACAAATTTGCCCTCGTAAGAACATGGAGATGGCACGTGCGAGGCACGCGCAACCACCTCTCGCCAATATATATAACTATCTGCAGTGGGAATTATCAGCAGGGTAGAAAAAGGGGCACGAGAGCGCCAACAAATCGTAAGGTTCGTCATCATAAACCCTAATATCGTAATCGTTTTTATCCAATTTCAGTAGTTATATATCGATCACGTTTGATTACATTACTGATTCCATCCGTATATTTCATAAATTTGATTTGATTATTGTTTTGGGTTTATTGAAAAGGAATTGTCGGTGATTATCTGGATGAATCCGCTTGTTCCATTTATGTGCTTAGTGAATTTTTTTTGGTTTAAATACCTGCAAATATGCGAATTGTGAACTGATACGTGATTGGTGCGTTGATTTTAATGGCTGAACTCATAAGAATTGCTTTCTGCACAGGCCATTCTCATGGGGCTTATAATAACTATTTGCTGTTAGGAATTTAATATGGAAGTAGGGATTTATGATGTTGCTTGCTTTTACTTCAAGTTTTCTTGGCCCTTTTTTCAAGATTTTCACCCTTAGTTGAGGTAGCATGCGGGGGTAGTGGTGTAAACGAGTAGAGTCAGATTTGAGTAGTAGGTTAACTGAGCTGAGCTCAAAAAATTAATACTAGACTCGAGCTCGAGCTCGAGCTCGATTTCAATGTAGGCTCGAGCTCAAATATTTTTTGAGTTATTGAGCTTGAGCTTGATGCTCGTTTATGGGTTTGAACTTGCAATTGATTAACTTGCCATATTTTTATTGTATGATTAATAAATATATGAGCATGTTTGGCTCGAAAAAGGGTATGCCCGAATGGCTTGGCTTGGCTCGGCTCGGCTCGGATTGTTAAGATAAACGAGTTTTATTTTTTGTTTGAGATCGACTTGAGTTCGAGAATTATTAAGCTCGAGCTCGAAGTGTTTACACCCCTATGGGGGGGGGGGGGGGGAATTGTAAGATTTTGAAGTTTTAATTTGACATGGGTAGTTTAATAATTTACCAATATTTTGGTGGTAAAAAAAACTGCATATTTATCCCACTCAGTCTTGTCTTATCCTGCTCTAATGTCGTTCCAATCATGGGACAGCAAATTTGTGTTCTGTCTTTCTTGTGTACCAAATGCACCATTTGTTGGCAAGCTCTCTTCACATTTTTCACAAGCTGGGGGTTTTCACGTAAATGGCAGCTCTACTTCTAGAGCAGTCTGCATACATCCCACTACCAACCCCACATTCTGGTAGGATGCACTGAGCTTGTTTGGTTTTTGAATTTATGTTCTGTAATCTTATTTTGTTTTGTACCACAGATTTTAACATTTAGTTCGAATTCTTCCTGTCATTCTAGGTCCATTCTCAAAATGGCGTTTCTTGGTAGAGTTGGCAATCTGCTTAAACAGTCAGGAAGCAAGCATGCCAGTATTGGATTATCTTCCACAAATTCACCACTTTTTAAGGCAATCAGAAGCATGTCATCTGCTAAGCTCTTTGTTGGAGGTGTATCACTTTTGCTTTATATTTTATTTATATATGTCAAATACTGACGCACATTCCACACCTTTGGTGATGTTTGAACCCTTGACCTCATGGGAGGCTTGGCTCCATCGGTAACTCAGGTACCGTTGGGCCAATGACCCTTTGGTGCAGTTTGCGTTTTTCATGTCATGTTTCAGGTGCATGTTCTCAAAGTAGCATCCAGAGTAACAGATTTGTTTATTCTATGCAGGACTTTCATATGGAACTGATGAAATGGGATTAAGAGAAGCTTTTCAGCAATACGGGGAAGTGATAGATGGTATATATCTATTAACATCAGATATCAATTGCTATATTCTCCATCTGTCCCACAAAATTTTAAAATTTCCTTCTTCAAAGTTTTCCTGACTAAATTACAATCATCACAAAAGTGGTCGGAGGGATATTTTGTTGTATTCACTATTTACAAGCCGTTTACTGACACAAATTGGGTAGATGTTAACCGGGTAAGAGGTTCACTCTTCTGAAAATGGTTGTTTACCAAGTGTTTTGTAGAAAGTGCTTAACGATAAAAGAAGATTGGGTAAACATTGTTTTGACTCGGTTTGTGACATATTTGTGGCTGACTCGGTCAGTCAGAAGTGTAGGTAAACAAAATCATTTCTTACCGGGTTAGGGGCTCTTACTGATGAAGGGGCCATTTACGGACACTTTGAGAACTTGCACCACCCTCACTTAACTTACCGGGTATACAGTTGTTGGTAAACACCATCATCTACCAAGCGCTAACCCAGTGAGTCACCACCCTCACTTGCCAAATAAGATTCTTGGTCATAAGTTTGTTGATGAACACCATCATCTTTGACCGGGTAAGTGTCTCTGCTTGCCCGGTAAGAGGTCGTAAATGTTTAGTTACCAGGTAAGAGGCACTAAGAGGCTGTTTACTAAACGCTTACCAGGTAAGCACTTATCTTACCGGGTAAGGGTGAGCATCAAAAGGACCAAAAATTTTACATGGTAAGAGTCATAGCAAGGACAGATAATCTTACCCAGTAAGTGAGAGAGAAGACTCTTACCCGGTAAGCGCTTGCCAGATAAAAGACGCTTGCCAACAATCCATTGTGATGGCCGAGAATGTTACCCAATAAGGTAAGCAAAGGCGATGACTCTTGTTGGTAAATGGTCCTAAGTGTTTAGTAAACAACACCTTGTCTTTGTGAAAACAACTGCGGGATTACCGTGCTCATTTAGTTTGGTTTGATTTACTTCAAATTTGGAGTTAAATACTAGGGCCTATCTAGTCATTTGGGTAAATCTACGACTTATCTTAGGTCTGTTCATAATGTCAAATGTTGATTTCGTATGGGACAGTGGATGATTTGATAAGTAGTCATTACCGATATCATTAGATTTAGACTCACTACAACTGCTCTGATTTCCGCAGCCAAAGTTATCACGGATCGTGATTCTGGTAGGTCTCGAGGTTTTGGCTTTGTTAGTTATACATCAGCTGATGCAGCTAACACTGCTCTTCAGGACATGGATGGCAAGGTATCATGCTAGTTATAGAAAATTTGGTTACTTGAAATCGTAGATTTTTTCTTTGGTGGTTGTTTGCGTATTTATGAACACCCACACCGGGACTATTCACCATCCTCCGATGGATGCATTTACATTATGTCGTATGTTTGACGCAAATTAATCAGGGTCCCCGAGAAGATCATGATGTTTCGAGCTTTTGATGACGACTTATTGTTTTTGTTCTTATTGTTCTTTGAGGTGTGTTTTTAGTATGGCAATTAGGCTGGGATCTGAGGGGATTGAGCAAGACAAAAAATACATTTTTTCTGTCCTACCAAAATAAGGTGAAGCAAAAATCAGGGAGATGGGACAAGCATGGTAAATTACTAAAATACCCTTGTCATATTAAAACCCTAAAACCTTCCACAGTTCTTTCACCCGTCCCCACCCGTCCGATCCGGTCCTGTTCTATTTCGATCTTTATTTTTTGTGGGATATGGTAAAATCTGCTTAAATGGTTAAATTTGGGGTGAAAATTGATACTCTCTCCGTCCCAAAATAAATAAAGTTATAGAAATGTGTAATAGAGGGAGTAACCAACTTCTCCATCTTGTAGTTAAGGTTACCTTTGTGAATGATTTTTTCAGGAACTCCATGGTCGAAGGATTAGAGTCAACTTTGCCCAAGAGAGACCTCGTCCATCCTTCGGTGGTGGTGGTGGATACGGCGGTGCTGGTTACGGCGGAGGTGGTGCTGGTTATGGCGGCTACGGAGGTGCTGGTGTTGGTGGAGGCGGTTATGGAGGAGCTGGTGGGTACAGTGGTGGGTACAGTGGTGGCGGCTATGTAGGTGGCGGTGGGTATAGTGGCGGTGGCTATGGTGGCGGCAGCATCAACAATGCAGGTGAGTATGGCAGCGGGAATCATAATGCTGCCAGTGGGAATGATCCCTTTAACGGTGTTGTTGAGCAAGAACCGTTAGCTGGTGGTGGTGGTGATGGTGATGGCAATCTGAACCATCGTGATTATGAAGACGATGATTATGCCAACACATCCAACAAGTAAATACCCGGAATCCATTTGACCATGGGAAGTTGAATAAACCAGTCGTTGTCAATATGTCGTGACTGCCGTTTAGCGGCTGTTTTCGGTTATATAAGTGTTACGTGGTGGAGTCGGGCAATTTTCTGATGGAAAGTTGCGATGTCTTTTGCGTTTAAATTTTGTTTACATGGAAAAATTAAAACGTTCGATTGTGGTTCAAAAGTACTTGTTATTGTAGGGTCTTTTGGATAATAATCTCACTTACTTTTGCTTGCCAAAAAATTTGATACATTGTAAGGTCATTTTACAAAACTAAGGTAATTGAGCTAAATAACCATGCCTTTTGAGCTAAGAGGCTGTTTGGTAGTTGTTGAATGGTTTGGTGTAAAATGATTAAAAAACTTTTATAATATAGTCTAAAATGAAATATAATTGTTTAATAATTATTCAAAATGAAATTAGGGTGCTGAATGGTTAAAGAATGACTAAGATACAAAATCATTCAGATGATTTTAGAACTATTAAGAGACGAACTTTTTTTATGACAAACAAGAATTTCGAAATTTCTAAAATCCCTCCTTAAAAATATATGCTAATTTAAATAAAAGAGTAAACTGGAAATTTAGTCCTTGTGGTTTTTGGAAAATAAGTCTAGTCTTTGTAGTTTTGAAATTACAAAATAGTAATCATTGTTTTAAAAACGTCCGGATTTGTTTCTCCTAATGGCCGTTAATAATTTCGTTAAGTGAGCGAGATTTTCGTTCTTCTATCGATTTATTTGTTTTTTTAATCGATTAAAATCGATTTTATAATATAGTCCATGTGGATTTTGATTGGATAAAGGACAAGAAAATCAATATAAAAAAAACCAAAAGTATCATTTATTTAAGGGAATTTTGCAATAGTCGTTAGAGGAAGAGACTAAATCCAAATGTTTTTTGCAAATCATAATCCATTTTGTAATTTCAAAACTATATGGACAAAAACTGTTATTCTTGATACACAGAGGGACCAAATTTGTAGTTTACTCTTATATAAGAGACAACATCTGAATCGTTAAGAGGTGAATCTTGATTGACAAAAAAAGTCCGCCTCTTAATGGTTCTAAAACTCTTTGAATGATTTTGTATCCTGGATCTTCCTTAACCATTAAGAGCCCTAATTTTATTGTACACAATTATCAAACAATTATATTTCATTTTGCATTATATCAGCAATTGCCAAACAGCCCCTAAACTATTTTTTTTTTTGAAAATTTCTATTTCCATCCCTTTAATTAACAACTCATGGCTTTTTATTCTTATAATTTACAATTTATTGTTATTTTCGTTCTTCATATTCACCAAAAAAAACCACTTAATAAAATAGCCTCACCTGAAGAACAAAAACAATAAATTACAAACCTCAGACAAAAACTGTAATTTTGAACAAAACCACAGGAACAAAAACCGTAATTTTGAACAAAACCACAGGAACAAAAACCGTAGTTTAGAAAAATAAAGTCATATGAAGGACAAAATGGTAATTTCACTATATGTCAGCCGATAGCACCAACATCGGCCTATATATAGGGAAATTTATAAAAATAACCGGTTTACACAACCCTTTGCCACAAAATAACCACATTTTAGAGGTTTTGCCAAAATA